ACTCTCACCAATATAAAAACGAAAGAGACAGGAAAACAGGAAGCTTCACAACCGTAGTGCATCAGTTTGAATGGACTGATTCCACATCCATTCAGGGGACAGGATGCGTAGGAAATTATTATATTATTGTAATGTGATCATGTAAAATGGTCATAAATTTGATTTCTTGCATAAATATTCCCAATTAGGAGAATTTAAGCATATAGAGGGGAGAAGCAGTACATAATTGGAAATAATGAACGTCTAAGATGCAAGCTGTTTACACACAACATGCAAACACACAAATATGTGCACGTACGCACACACATAGATGTGCAGCTGCTTGTTAGATGGCGCCAAGATGTAACATCTCAGGCCCACAGCTGTGTGTGGATACTGCGTGCATGACGATGAAGGAAGAGGCTCTCACTGAGGAAAATATAACTCTGTGTCATCACATCAATCGGAAAACTATTGATTGACTAATTTTCTCACGCTACAAACTCACAAGGGGCTCTTTACCGTCACATTTATTTAATATGCAGCCACACACACATTTCATAAGGCTTTGTTGTGTTCGGGGTATTCCTGTGTCGATTCTTTTAGAGTTTCTTTATCAGAAAGGATTTCCTTGTTCCTCCGGGTGCAGAAACCTGCACATGCTTCCAAAGCAGCAGAGGCGTTTGGCTTGACATCAAAGTGAACATCAAGATCGCAGGTGACACAGTCCCTCCCAAAATATGGTCAAAGAAACAGTTGAGCTGATTCATATCCTTTTCTACTGTCAAAACATTACTGCTGTCAATTACCTGTATAATCGCTCTGCATTTCAAAGTTCAATAACATATGATTGATAATTGGTTTTCAGATCTGCTCAGACAATGTGTTTTTCTCCCATAAGACACTGCAGGTAATTTAAATAATTAGATGTTTAGTGTGAACCCCAGTAATGAAGGAGTTCTCACAATAATGATATGGTCTGGTTCAAAGACATAAAAATACTTCACACCCGTGCTCATCCGAAATATTCAGTCCAGACAAATGCTATGAAATACTTTCTAAATTACCCAAATTGTTATTATTGGCAATAACATCAATTTTTCCTGATGTCAAAGATCTTTGAATATGTTATTACAGTAATTTGTAGATATTATATGATATAGATTACAGGCCTCAATTATGACTTCTTGTAAAGGGAATTATTTCTGATTTGAATTCAAATTTTCAGTATGTCAGAGAAATGTTTTGTATTATAGATTGTGTTAGCTCTGTGCGACAGGACCAATGAATATAAATAGTATATATATATATATATATATATATATATATATATATAGTATGATATTTTGTTTTTATTGTCTATATTGTATCATTTAATGCAAAATACATGAGAAAACATTATATATGCATTATATATTAATATATTATATATTAATATTACATTATTCATCTTTTTAACTAAAATGCTTTTGAAAGACAGTAAGCAAAAATCTTGTGTATATCTACCAAGAGATACATGATAAGAAAATAGACTAAACTAGACTAAAATAATGCAGTGTATATGAATTGTGGCAACATAAATATAAAACCTTTCTTTATTGATTATAGAATTGTATATTTCTTGCTTTTCAAATGATGTAACATCATTCTGAGAACCTCTGAAGATAAATAAAATGATCATAAACAGTTTGTATTTCTCTCAAGCTGGGTCTAAATAACTTGTTAAAGTTTGATTGATTGAGCTGCTTATCAGAGATACACTGTTTGTTAGTCTGTGTGTGTTTGTGTGTATACAAACACTGTTTGCACTCTTGCGTGCGTATACACCAAAGGTAAGCTTCCGTCAGAGGAAGGTTGAGGTTTTTTGTCCGTTTACAGTGTAAAGAACAGACTGCTGACAAGGTGAATTCAGGCAGCTCTGAAGAGTTTAGTGGCAATCTGTGATGTACACCTCCACCCCCCATATGCCACAGACACACACACTGTCAATTTCAAGTGAAAGTGGTAAACTCTTGTTGGGTTGAAATTTTTTCATTTTCTCTTTTTTTCTTGTTGGCATTTTGCTGTATGTGCCTTCTCTCTTCCATAGGTTTATTTTAATGTATCGTACTCAGAATCTTAGACGTTGTCAATACTAAGAAGCACAAAAACCATCATTAAATTTGTTTTCTTCTGCTGTTTGTACGACAACTCCGAAAACTGTGTCTTTTAAGTAGAAAGACATTGATGACTCGTATCCTGATGAAAGACGTAAATCTGCGGCTCTGTGGCAGTGTCTTGGTATACTTTGCACGGGGGAAGTGTGGGAGGTGGCACCCTTTTATTTCCACAAGCAAACCAGAATATTTCCATCACTGCACATATACTATACTCAAACCTCTTCTGTTTTTTCACATCATTGAGTGATTAAAGGATGAGAAATTTGAATAGCTCCAATTGTTCTTTTTTCTAAATCAACTCATTAAATAAGTGAGTTGTCAGCTGGCTTCATATTTTATGGTGATGTTGGAAAAGCTTTTTGTAAAGAAGTACTACATTTAATGATATAATGCAAAGTTAGCTTAGATAGCAAAATTAATCCTTTTTTTTTTCTTTCATGCACGTTAGCAGATAAGATCTACAAAACGAATATCTCTTAACCACAAAAATCATATTCATTGGGTCATGATAAGGTGTGGAACAGGCCTGTGATATGAGGATAAATTGGCAGCAAAATAATGTGCAGCTTAGAATTCCAAGTAAATGTATGTTTAATGCAAAACAAGCACTGCATTGTCTTTAGCCAAATTCTGTGCAACAATCAAAATAACCTTATGGATGAATCATACTGTTAAGTACGGTTAAGTTTTTTCAATAATTTCTTATCTCCTTATCTCTCACACACAGGGAGATACTGGTTTTGATTGGTTTTGGTCTGTGGAGATAAGAAGAAGAGACCAAAAAAGGTTGAGATTGGTGCCAGGTTAATTTCCTGTAACAGCTCCAGCTCCATTATTACTTTTCATTTTAGTTTAGCACCAAAAAGAAGACTTGATTTCACCGGACGTTGCCTTAGATAACATGCTTTGTGTTGAGTGTATCAGAGCTATACGATGATGTGGAAAGTTTGGGAGTGTTTGTGATTGGTGTGTGTGTATAAACAATGAAAGGTTGTGTGTCTCGTGGATTTCCTGTCGTTTGAGAATCAGAACTGAAATAGACACAAAAAAAAAAAAGAAAGACCACTGATGATATTTAGTTTGCAGAAAAATATTTCCACTGAGCGTCAAATCAAGTAGCTGTCTTTTAAAATGTGTGAAGTTCTTGAACTCATATCATGGTTAGTCTTGAGGTTGTTCACTCGCCTCGATTATTGGCAGCAGCTGCATATCTCATCAGCTCTGCAGAGATTCTTGCTGCTTAATTATCTTCATCTGAATGTGTCTTACCTCAGGCCGAATGACTTCCTCAGGAGCCTTGGGGTGATCCCTGTGGCATGACAAAGAGGGCACACACTGACACACTAACACACACTTGCAAATAAATCTGACACAGTTGTGCACGGAAATGCTGCTGTGTATGAGCATTAGTGCCAGCTTGTTTTGCAGAGGACAATCGTAGCGCACAGGGGCGAAGGTAGAAGAAGCGATTACTGATGGTTAGAATATAAATAAATCATAAAATATGAATTATCCTCCATCCTGTAGTTGATATCCTTTTTGAGGCAAACCAGAAAACATCTCGCACCCCTGTCACCAAGACTGTGTTCCTACAAATGTGGCCCTTTAATTAATCTAATGACATCTGAAAAACAAAATCACCACAAGGCAAGAAGGATGAGGGGTGTGAGAGTTCACAGAGATCAGGGGCACGGGGGGAGGTGAGAGGGGGACGGCCATTACTGGCAGTGATGGAGGAGAGAGAGTGCATTACTGGCAGCTGTGTCCTTTATGAGCGAGACAGAGAAGGATTCACAAAGAAAGAGATGACATGAAAGAGGGACAGTCAGAGCGAAAGAGAAGCCAGGCAACCACTTGAAAGGCGTCTGAGGTTGACACCTTCACATTCTCCGCCTTTCTCCCTTTGCAGATATTCCACGTCCTCTCAGGACTCTGTCTCCTCGATGTATTTGAAGTTGTTCTGCTCATTGTTAATAAGGCGAGGGGTGTTAGAGAGGAAAACACCTTTGGTTGGTCACACAAGAATTGATGTTGATGCTTCAGGGGAAGTACAGCAGCAGTTCTCACAGTGGGAATCATTTTCCAGTTTACTTCTTGGGTAAAAATATGCAGCATCAGTGCTCACTCACAGTGACAACCTGTTCCTTTAGACTTGTTTGATATTATTAATGGAGATATTGATTGTTTGATTTCAACTGAAGTCCAACAAATGGTAAATGGTCTGTTTTTATATGAGAAGGGGCAATTTTGGGGAAGACTGAGACCAGCCATAGGCACCCCTAATGCAATCAAATTTAAATTCATGAGATCCAAATCATCACCATCCATGATTTGTTCTCCGAGAAATCAATGAAACGAAAACACCCTATCACGCATTATTAAAGACAGTGGGGAAATAACATCCTAGATCTGCCCCTGATCAGGATCCACATTGACATTTTATGGATCCTTTCTGATCCATTCATCCTTCCAGCAATTTATGCTAATTCATGTGTGTTTGTGTGAATAAGTTGATCTTTGTTTTTATTTCAGTCACATATGACACTTCACTAATGTATCAATAGATTAGATTCTTTTGTCTTTTTTTTAAAAAGAAAAGCTCAATACCTTGTGTGGCTTTTTGCGATTAGCTCTTCATGGCCCATTCTGCTGGTTTAGGAAAAATAGATGCGACACTGAAGATGCAATATCGTCAAACTGATTGACAGTGACACATTTAACTTGTTTGCTTCCATACTTTACCCAATGGTGTCAAGAGCAGGAGGCTCTTGACACCATTGTTTTTGACCTGTTCATCTATAACAGAAAAAGCTGCATTCAAAGATGTGAACGTAACTGCTTTTACTTCCTGTGTTTGTTCAGCCCAGATTGAAGCAATCCCGTGCAAGATCTGTGGTGACAAGTCCTCTGGAGTGCATTATGGAGTCATCACCTGCGAGGGCTGCAAGGTGAAATGCAACATAATGTGTTACATACACACACATGCGACATAGACACGTATGAATTTATAGGGTTGACAACACTTTCATGTCTGTCCGTTTAATATGAAGCAAGCTGCGTGTTAGCTTAGCTTAGGGTAAAGACTGCAGACAGGGAAACAGCTAGCCTGGCCTTTCACCAAAGTTAAAAGATACCCAAACTTGCAACACTTAAAAAGCTTGCTAGCTGAAGAGCGAACTTCTTGTTTTCTTGTCCAACATATAACTACAAAAATACATGTTGAAACAAGATACTAATTAACGAGCTAAAATCTTGTTTGCTTGGATTTATAAAGTTATATGATTCATTAGTTCTTGGCCTGATGCAGCACTCTCACTTATGGTCTCCATAGAACAGTAGAGACCATACCATAGACTGTGTGTAAAGATGGATTACTCAAGAGCTCTCAAAAAGTCAGGCCAAAGCTCCTCAGTTGCCCCCTGGTGGCTGGCTGCAGTGTCATAAACACTCCATGTTAAGGAATGGGACATGGGTCAAACTACGCGCCAAATAAAAAAGAGAGCTCCAACTTAATTTTGAACAGACAGACATGAGAGTGGTTTCTATCATCTCTTTTAACTCGAAAGCTTTTCCCATCATTTCCCCCCAAAATAAAACTTTTTCTTTAAATAACCATTGGAGTTCGACCAATATCAACATACTGTAGGTATTTGTGTATATGTTGGCTCATATGTTGAAATGACAGAGACAGACACACAGCAATGTCAAAAATGATTGATTATGTCATCACGTCATTCATTCATCAGAGTTCAAGTTCAACAGTAAAATGTCCTCCCTTCTACATGTCTCGGTCATAACTTTTAAAACCATCGATGTACCATTATAAGACTTTTGTAACTCAAGTATCTGCCTCTGTTGGACTGTTAACTGTTCATTATCCATCCCGCAGGGATTCTTCCGGCGCAGCCAGCTGCCCACTGTGTCCTATTCCTGCTCCAGGCAGAGTAACTGTCAGATCGACCGGGCCAGTCGCAACCGCTGCCAACACTGCCGTCTGCAGAAGTGCTTGGCACAGGGCATGAGCAGAGATGGTGAGGTGTAAACAAACCCACACTGATAAAAAGTATGATACATTTTCTTCACTGTTTTTTCATTTTTTTATCTTCCATAGCTGTGAAGTTTGGAAGGATGTCCAAACGTCAGCGGGACTCTCTGATCGCCGAAGTGGAGAAGCACCGCCAGCAGCAGCAGCTTCAGCAGCAGCTTCGGGGAGACGTCCAGTCTGTGTTGTCCTTCCCTAACAAAGCCAGGCAAGACCGCTCCCCCCAGCTACTCCAGCCCATGGCTCCAGCCTACTCTTACACTAGTGAGGCTGAGCTGCTGTCCTGCACCACTGATGTTCACCCTTACCTTGTGTACTCTGCCAACGAGTCGCAGGTGTCAGGGATGATCTACAGAAACTCCGGTGTCTCTCCCACACCCAGATCCCAGGGGCGGGGGGATCACAATGGACACCCTGAAATAAGAGGTGAGACACTGGTGTTTCAACACTCAACGCAGTTTCCTTCATCCTCCTTTGTTTATTCTTCATTTGTCTCTTCCTTATATCAGGGTTTGAATTGAGACAGCCATCTCATGATCTGATGGCGATCCATCCCTTCAACCCTCTGGAGGAATCCTACGGCATTTATCCTCAGTCTCTGAGAAACATAGGTACACAAACAGCATGGTGGGCTTATGCTTAACCAAGTGTGTTGCAGTCTTCATATGAATGATTGCTTCTGCTTGTTTTCAGATGAGCTTTGTGCCAGTATTGTGCGTTCCCACCGAGAGACCAGCCAGTACAGAGTGGAGGAGCTGCAGGCTCTCAGATGGAAGCTGTTCAGTAGAGAGGAGATCCAAGCCTATCAGAGCAAAGTAAAACCAACCCACTTTCCTTTTTCTCAGAAATGTTGTTGCATTTGTATGACTTTATTCAGACTGCCTCAAAAGGGATCTCTTGGCAAAAATTTAATATAAAATAATCCTAGTGATGTTTTCACCACTGTGTTTCATCTAAATTGTACTAATTGTTGTTTTCTTTACCATAGAATGAGCCTTTTATATTTAAATACTTTATATTTACATCGGGAGCGGGTCCCCTCTACGGAGGCCGCCATGTTTTTTATAGTAGTCCAAACTGGAAAAACTAAACACCTCTTGAGTTTTCATGACAACTGAAGGCTACCCAAGGTTCTCCATGTTTGGAAAGGGAGGGTGAGCCGAGGGGTATTCAGCTGCAACATGCAACTTCACCACAAGATGTCACTACATTCTACACACTGAACCTTTCAGTGGATGTTCAATTAATCATAGAATCATATAATATTTTTGTATTTTATGATATAGTGAGTGGCATAGTGGTACAGTGGTTAGTGTTGTCTGATTGAATCCTCTTTTTTGTGTCGATTTCCTCCTGCTACCTTAGCTTCCTCCCTCAGTCCAAAGACATGCAGACCTAGGACAGGTTATCACGCTAAATTGTACATGAGTTTGAATGTGAGGGTTTTTATGTTGGGCCCTGTGATTGGCTGTAATTGCACGCCTCTCACCCAATGTCGGGTGATATTGGCTCCAGCCCCCGGCGAAAGTATGATTCATGTATAAATGGATTTTTTATTATATGAAAACATGACATTTAATTGTATTTTTCCTCTGTCCTACTCTCAGTCAGTGGATGAGATGTGGCAACATTGTGCCATTGGACTGACCGATGCCGTCCAGTATGTAGTTGAGTTCGCAAAACACATCCCAGGTTTCCGTATGCTCAGCCAGAACGACCAGATCGCACTTCTCAAGACAGGTGAGGTTACCCATCATACAAAAACTGTATGCTTTACTCTTTTCTCAGTTGCCCTCCTTTCAACTGATTCCTTTTCCTCCTGTCTTCCCCCCCATGCAGGCTCCATGGAGGTAGTTCTGGTCAGGATGAGTCGGTTCTTCAACACTGAGAACAACACTGTCTTCTTCGATGGGAAATTTGCTGGAGTTGAGATCTTCAAGTCTCTGGGTGAGGACCTTTACACATTAATCCCAACTCAGGCAGAAATGCAGATCTGACACCATTCATGCAATGAGCACAGTATAGTGTATATTAATGTGGTGGTTTATCAGTGCTCTGTGGTCTCTCTGCCTGCAGCGTGTGGGGATTTGATCACAGCAGTGTTCGACTTTGCTCACGACATGTGCACTCTAAAGCTCACTGAGCAGCAGATCGCTCTTTTCAGTGCTCTGGTGCTGATCAACGCAGGTATTGATTCAACTATCTGGCACTCGTGTTACATTTACAAAAACACTATAAAAATAATGCTCCAAGCTTTACTCTTGTCATCAGGGATCATCTAATACTGATTTTTGAATATTGACTACTCTTGATTTGTATATGCATCTTAAACACAATTAATCTTGTTCAAAATCCTCTCGTGCTTAGTTTGTGTCTTTCTGTGCAGACCGTCCATGTCTGGAGGACAGAAGCAGGGTCCAGCGGGTGCAAAGAAACGTGGAGTTAGGACTCACACACATTCTACACCGAGACAACCAGGAAAGTCTAATGCACAAGGTACAATATCTCAGTATAGAGCAGATACTTTCTGTTCATTCATCTCACTTAGCTAATGGCTGTTTAAAAGGCAAGAATGTTATCCTTTCATCTCCATGAATGTGTGCATGCTCACCTTCCTGGGGTAGATAGTGCTCTAAATGTGTCCGTGTCCCCCCTGCAGCTGTACCAGAGGATGGCAGTGTTGCGTTCGCTGTGCAGTCTTCACATGGAGAAGCTGCGCTGGTTCAGTCAGCGTTACCCTCTCACTGCTCACTCTCTGTTCCCACCACTCTACAAGGAGCTGTTTGCCTCAGAAGCCGAGCTGCTGCCAGGGACCACACACTGATGATTCAGTAGCATATGCAAACCACACACCCACACACCCACACACACACACACACACACACACACACACACACACACACACACACATACACATACACGCATAGACACCACAATTATTTTATCACTTTCTGACAGAGTCTATTTTTCTAATAATGGAACTAAATGAGAAACCCACAGTAATCATAGTGTGTTAAGTATTACAGGATCCCCATCAGAGCTTTGTTTCGGTAGCTTATGTCAAACATGCATTTTAATGTTTTTATAGCTTAAAACTACCAGTTTTACTACCAGGGGAGTTTTGTATTTTGTAGCACCATTACAGGATTCGTTTTCCTTCAGGATGTGCTGTTGTGATTCTGTTCAGTTAATGTGTGTCACAATGCTTTCAGACTCAGATTCAAAGAGGCAGCACAGTGGCAACATGGTCCATTAAGACGTCAAGTCGTAGTCCACTCAACATCTGTCCTCAGAGGATAAAACACTGACCACAGAACTGAAAAGTGACTCTATGTTTAGCATTTATATTCAGCTTTGGATCCGCAGTGGATTTGAATCCGATTGCATATTACAAATAGAAAAATGAAACAAAATATCAGGTTAAAACACCAAGACAAAATTTGTACAGAAGCAACTATGATGGAACTCAGTAGAGCACATACCTCTGCCAAGGCCCAACAGTCCCCATCAGTCAATCAATCAATCAATCAATCAATCAATCAATCAAGCTGCACCAAATTTCACATACTCATAGATATCGGCTCCCTAAATGTGCCTCGTTTTTTTTCATCAAGATCCATGAATTATTCCCTGGGCAAACAATGAAAATATTGAAAAACGTCTTATCTAGCCATGTTAATGAAAGAGAAAAAAGATTCTTGCATCCACCCCCTGAATTGGATCCACACCAAAATCCAACTTCTACCAAGTTTCATGGAAATCCATTCAATAGTTTTTGTGTGTTCTTGCTCACAAACAAAAAGAAGAATAAAAAAACTAGCTTGAAAACATTAACTGAGCCAGAAAGACAAGAAGTACACAGGAATATACTTTTGCAATACGGTAATGGATGTGTCACACCATAATCAACTTTACACAGTCCACTTGTGCACAGATAACATCCACATGTTTATACTCTGTGTGACTCAAAAGATGGATTTTGACCTCAGTATTGTTTTATACAAATGTGGGAGCTTTGTGGCAGAAACTCAGAGCAGTGACAGTATGGGTGAAGCTAAAAATGTTTTATTTTTTTGAAATCATACTCTACTTTCAGGAACCTTGAGCACATAGTGATCACAGATTGGCATCAGTTCAGAGTCATTGTTAGATTATGCTATTTCAATCATGTTAGATATTTGAAGGTAAATGTACATGGCAAAACAAGTATTCCCTACAAAATGTGAAATATTGGAAGAAATCAGATTCTGCACACTCACCCAGAGAAAAATCTGTCTCTGTTATATCTGAGATGTCAATGATGAGCGACAACTTGCCTCTTTGTATCCACATGTCTCTAGAGAAATGTTTCTCCTCAGGTTGATAATGTCAAGTCCTACGAAGTAGCAGTACCTCAAATGTTTTTTATCCTGTGTGTTTAAATAAATTCTCACAGCCTTTTATATCTTTAAAGCTTTGGAAACAATGTTGCATTTAATGTAGAAAAGATGATGGAGATACAGTAGAAGTCGCTTCCTCTGTGTGCAAACTTTTCCTTTTTCAGATTGAACTTGCATATGTTTTGTTTTCTCTATACACAGTAACTTTAAATAAAGCAATGAGTAAAAAGGAAATGATGAGAGGCTCCAGCATTAAGTACCGTCTGTCCGGGTGTAGTCCTCTCTGTTCCTGGAACAGCTGAGATCATAATGAAGTTAAGTCCATGTAAATCTTCTAATAAACTGTTAAGGCTGTGACACCAAGCACATGTGGTAACTTTATTTCTCTATTTGTGGAAAGAGCAGAGTAATATTAATAGTAGTGTGAAACTGAATCATGCGAGAAATAACCTGATATCTTTGAGGATTTGATGAGAAAAACAAAGACCTGAGGTTATTCACAGTGGACTGAAACGATAAGCATGATTTATCATTCTCTGTAGCACACTGACACACAGCCAGACAAACTTCAGTATCAGCACAATACTGCAACTGCACCTTTTAACACAAAGGAAATGTTGGTCATCGTGGGTGACCGTTGTTACAGCAGCGCCATCAGCCTATGGAAAGTTTTCTTCAGATTGTCCAAAAACAGCTGTTGCTAACCAAGTTAAGAGGAAACGAATCAATATGAGTCAGTTGGATTTGGTAAAAATTAATTAACCCTTCAAAACACCACAGAGACTTTTATGGTCAATGTTCTTTCACTCGTGCTACAAAGCTGCTGGTCTTTTATCTCTTTCTCTGTGTGGTTTATTTATAAACGCGCTTCGACTCAAACCTTTAGAGTCACTGTTTTAGGTGAATTGTCAACTCTAAATTGGCCTTAGGTGTGAATGTGTTTGTCTTTATATGTTGTACCTGCAATATGCTGTGCTATAATATATTGCATGTGGTCAGCAAAGTACTGCGCAAACATAAAATAAAACAAACAAAAACTACATCATGGCTCCAACAGTTTGGTTTGAAGTAGGTCCCCACAGGCCCCCGATATCCCTTGATATTATTCTGTTATTCAGTCACATTTCCTCTATTGTCAAAACATGCAGTGGTGACAAGTGTGTGCTGGATTTCACATTTGCAATCTTTAAAATTAGATTTTTTTCTCTTGATTCCCTGCACCACAAAAGAGATCAACCAAGCCGAGGGAGATACTGTATCTCTCAATTTTCCTCCTTTCAATTTCTCCTCTTTTGAACACTCTGAACATCTCTTAATTCAACTGAGACATTAAATTAAATACACCAAACTTCACCTCATTTCGCCCCTGATGGAAAAGGACAGTGGTCAGACACTGTCAACCCAGTTTTGACCAGAAAATTACGTGTCAACAGTTTTACAGTAATCTGTTGGATTGACGCAATAATGTGATGACAAATTCCAGATCACTGTTTTTCGGAGGGAGTCATGGCAGCCTTCAGCTTGGGTTTATTTGCTATTCTTTACTCTCTGACCTTTCTTTCTAGTGAAGGAATTTCTAGTGAAAGAAACACTTGAGTAGAGTTTCCGGACTCTTGTCTCTCACCACCAACAACAACAACTGAAAAAGTTGATCCTGAGATCTCCTCTATCTGATGGGAAAGAGCTGTGGGCAGAGCAGATAATCATTCCAGTTTAAACTGAGGCCTAAAGAGAGTAAACTGCGGAAACTCATTAAGCTGCATTCTAGCACAGCAGTGCACAGGGGACTTCTTCTCTGGTCGGATTTTATGAGAACGTGGTGGGAGGGGTTGTGTGAGGGTCACAGGCAGTTTTTCAGACTGGAATCCTTGAGACCAAGAAAATCCTTGAGTCAGTCTCAGAGTGAGATAATCAGGAATTCAAGGCTTTTAAGCTGTCTCTCTCTGAACAAACAATAATTAACAAATATGAATACTGAGGGAACACTCACAGCATTATCGTGTTATGAGTTAAAATCAAAATAATATTGAAAATATTTGTTCTCAATCATTTAAATTAGCAAGCCACTTGACATGAGTTGATTTATCCCTAGGGAACTATTCAATGCTGTTCTAAAGTCTGACAAAAAAAAACCCAGCTCTGTGTTGGAGACAACACTACTTTCAGCAGAGAGTCTGTTATGAGACAAAGACAGAAACAGAAATTTATCAAGCAGGTAAGATATATGGTAATTTTATTGCATTTTGGAAAATATAGGAACCTATCTTTTCTATATCTGTTCTCTAGACATGACATCTCTGGCTCTGCTCTTGGATTTTAAGTATATTTAATTACAATTTTTAAATCTATCTGCCTCTAGTCCACCAACCTCACATAAAGACAATATAAAGGCCTCCACTCTGTGGCACAGAAAACAGCAATCTTTGTGTCAATATTTGTCTAGACAGTAAAAAATTAAGGCCAAATAAACATTGGATTCATCGTAAAGGGTTGAACGCTATTTTACTCTAATTTAGTCTTTATTCTTGACAATTCTACTTGCAACATCTTCAAAAATAAAAATGACATAATATCTGATTTTTTTTGCATTTTGAATATATCCTCGATGGCAAATTTTTCCCCAAAAATTCTGCTCTGAGTTTGTTTGACTCAAAGGTTAATTGTGTAAGATCTGGGGGAAAGGGATCTATTGGCAGAAATTTAATATAAAATAATCCTAATGATGTTTTCACTAGTGTGTTTGACCTAAATTGTATGAATTGTTGTTTTCTTTACCATAGAATGGGCAATTTATATTTAAACTTTATATTTACACGGAGGGGGGTCCTCTCTAGGGACGTCGACCATGTTTTTTTAGTCATCCAAACTGGACAAACTAAACAGCTTTTGAGTTCTCATGAAAATTGAAGGCTATCATGGGTATTTTTTATGTTAGGAAGGGGAGGGTAAGGTGAGGGGTGTTCAGCTGCAACATGCAAATTCACCACTAAATTCTACACACTGAACCTTTAATCCTCAACAGTTTAACTTTATTCTTGATATGCAATGATACAAACACTTTTTATTCTCAAAATATAATTTTAAAAAGATTAGCCACTAAAATAATTTAACTTTTTAAGAAATTTCAAAATCATCTCTGATCAAGTTTAACATTATTCTCAACATTTTGACGAAATACAATACGATGCAAAGTGTAGTTTTCGAGGTGTTTGGAATCAAAATGAAGAAGACGAAGAAGAAGAAACTTCCGACTTGATCACGTGTTTGAGTGAGAAGCGCTGATTGGCTCAGCTCAGCCGACAGGTGGAAATGTACGGATAATGGCGGGACGTTGAGTTAATCTGGACTGGAACGAGACTCGTGTTGCAACATGCGTGTCTCAGAAGACTCATGGACTTTGCAGGGATCAGCAGTGAGTCATGGTGAAAAACTTCCCTCCCTCCTCCCTCTCCCTCCTCCCTGAAGCCCCACTTCCACCATAAAGTCTGTTTGCGGGGTCTCGCTCACTGACGGACAGCACGGGAGCTTCTGTTGGACCAATTACCGGGCCCGTCTGTGCGCGCTGCCCCGCTGAGGGGTGTTTACTGGGCGGCCTCTGAGAGTCAGTCAGCCCGATAGACAGATCCGCAGACAGACCGTTGCAGCACCGACACAGCAACACACACCGACAAGATCGCAATGGGCTCGTCTTGGCCTTTAGTCTGTCCCACCGTGCTGCTCTGGGTTTTACTGAGCTCAGCATCCACAGGTCGGTACCGTCACTCCTCTGACTGTTGTTGTTGTTGTGGTTGTTGTTGTCGTCCCGCTGGGTTTGTTGTGTTTGCGTCAGGCTTCAGCTCCATGTTTGTTCGTCTTATCTGCTCCAAGTGCGCACTGACATTAACCGTCGACTTGATAGACTTGAAAATACTTTTAAAACCAATGTCTGTTTAGGTGCAAAGTATCGAAGTACACACATAGCAGTATATTCTCCATCTCTTTTATTTGAATACTACTTCAACTTTATTACACTTTCTTCCAGTGGTGGCATGTAACCAAGCACTTAAGTACATTTTCCATGTATCTGTACTTCACTTAAGTAGATTTCATTTCAGTTACTTTAGTCCACTACACTTTTTATTTTATTTTGAAAGAGGAACAGAACAAGAAACACGTGTACATGTGGTTGTATACAATAACATACAGGGACATACGAACCAGGGGTGTTTTACAATATACATATAAATCATAAAAATATATAATTTAAAGATTTTATAAAACTTTTTTTTTAGATGATTTGGAAATTAGGTTTACATAGTGTTCAACAAAAACAAAAAACAGGGTCTTTATTGCTATATTTGCATTTATGGATTCAATTTTTGGCCAAAAAAAATATCAAATTTATTATTAAAAAACGCATCTTCTTTTTGGGGGGGTCTTAACAAAACCAAATAGTTTGTTAATCTGTTCCACCTTGTCCACTACACACATCAGCAAACATCTGTACTTTCTAGGCAGGTAACATTAGACACCACCAACACTCAGTCACAATGATGTACCAGACCTTTGCATTAGTATATTCGAAAGCAAGTACTTACTTACTTTTACTCAAGTAAGTTAAAATGGTACTTTTACTTGCGTACACTTTGTCTCTTTATTTGTACTTTTGCTCAAGTTAAACCTTTCAATACCTCCTCTACCAGCTACAACTGCTTTGCATATTAAGATTTAGCATATAAGGTAATATAATATGATGATTTTGATAGATTACAGGAGCCTCACTGCCTCCATAGTGAGTAGATCAATATGAATTATTCTTCAAAATGCCCCATATTCTTTAATCTTATATGTAATATATATATATATATATATATATATATATATATATATAATACATTTTACTTAAGTAAAAGTACAAATAGGAAGACAAAATGTACTCAGGAAAAGTTAAATGATCATTTTATCTCATCTCCTTCAGTAAAAATAAGTACTTTCTTTTATATATAATTTGATTATTAAAAATACAAGTGCTTGCAGACTATTTTGCAGAGCAATAATTTGTATATAATTCTCCCAAAAAAAAGTGGAGGGTTGCATAACCTTGTTTGGATTTCCTTCTCTCTTTCCCTCTCTCTTTCCTTCTCTTTTTCTTTCCAAATTATAGGCTTCGTTGAGCAGCGTGAAGTCACTTTTGACCTTGACCAAAAAGGTGTGTATTCACGAACAAGTGCATAGTCTTTTGCTGCAGTGAACAGTTCAGAGGGGCAGTTTGTTCAGCTCTCAATACTTCAAGAGGCTATTTTGGGACTTGTGGGGACATGTCGGGGATTTTAGAACATGAAGTTCAGTTTACTTGTCACGAGTAGCACTACTCATCCTTTTGAATCAATTGTATGATGATCACATTCTGATGAATCAAAACGTTATGGAGGTGAAATATGAAATCACCGGAGTAGTTTAGTGATTATGGGCTACCTTAGATCATGACTACATACAAATATAATGTAAACAAATGTCTTTCTGCCTGTCTGGTTCCTTAGCTAACCCATTAAGACATTAACTTATCCAATTTGGAAAGACTTGTTCAATCAATATGTGTCTTTCAGGAATGGAAGAAGCCCTTCTGCAGAAAGAGGTGGATTGGGCAGAATTCTTCGATCCCAAAGGTTCTGTTTCTCTTTGTGTTTTCTGTTATGACCTTGTTTTGACATAAGTACACAGCATTCAAACATTTCCCACTTTGGCTGCTCAGATTTTTCTGCCTATAGCTTGCCTGTATTCCAGTAATAAATCATTCATTTAAAGGGGGAAATTTCAGAGATAAGGATAAAAGTAATGACTGTAGGCAACGTGCCAGGGGATGAGAATATCATGTGATCAGTCTGCCGCCTGTCATTAACATGAGGAATGTGGAGCATCTTGTTAAGTTATTCTTTAGTATAGGTTTCACAAATAACAAAATACTCTTTTGGCTCATTAGCACAACATTATCATAAGTGTCGGAACATGGAAAAGATTGAGCAAGAGACTAAGTCTCTTCTGAAGAAAGAAACAGACAAAACTGCAATTTGTGTGCTCACAATGGTTAAATACATTTTAAAGGAAAATATTAGATTAATAACCAAGATTCTGAATGGAGATGGGGGAGGGAGTGGAACTTTGGCTAGCATGGGTTCTCCTTGCTTCTGATTTCTTATTTTTCTTGACGTTTTCTTAAGTTATGACATTATCCTGGTGATATTCATTAAATTACCACTTCATAATATTCAAAATTCATAATATTATGACTTTGTATCCATTTAAGACTTATTTCTCATAATATTGTGACATTATTATTGATACTATAACAGTTTCCCATTGAGCAGATAATGGAGTTTCCACCAGAAATGTTTGACACCCTGAGTGAGCGAGGTTAGCTGTTACCTACTGTACCTTACTATTGATCATCTTCTCTTATTTAAATCTCCCTCTTCTGATTAAAAACACCGAAACATTGTCCAAATGAGTCAGTTGTACAAAGAAACCACCTCTAAAGAACTAATAAACAAACAACTACCTTTGTTCTGTCAGGGGGTTCCAGACCAGGACCAAGAGGACGTATGTAGTTCTTTTCTTCTCGTTTGAATTTACTTTGTTCCAACCACAACTGTAAAAGCATCACTTTGACATCACGCTTCATGTCCTTCCCTTTAAGATCAACCAAATGTTCAGCCCCGTTCCTTTGGTGGCCTGCCTATTCTGAACTACCCTGTTCAGTTTCCCCTCAGCCGCCCGACCCTTGAGAATCTCCAAGCCATCTGTCTCCACGGAAACCATCGTCCTCGCTACCCAGTCTCTTACTTTCCTGCCTCTGGTTATGGTCAGCAGAGGAGAAGGGCCAAAGCGGTCAACAAGGCAGAGTCCTGGTTTAGCACATGCTGCGCAGGGAACCAGACATGGGCGAGGGAAGTGACTCTGTGTTGCGCCACACAGGCAGTAAGTTTTCACCAAAGCTCTTACATCTGATCATCATTTTAATAATCTAAATATATACAGTATGTCCTGTATCATCTTGCTCTAATTCTGCTTCTCTTGGCTTATTCCACTTTCATATAACATTTGATTCAACACCAATATGATATTATATTAAAAACCAAGATATAATACATTTTATTAACTTAATTCCACATGTAGGACAAGACTTTTATTGGCATCATATTATTGCCTCACTTTATATTCCCATTAACTGAGTTTCTGAACCTGAGGCCCATTGGGATCGACTTTAGTCCTGCAAACCAAACCCAGTGTCTTTTCTCTTCATGTTTTCCTATTGCCCCAGATAAAAAAATAAAAAAAAGGCATGAAACATTCTTCACATTGCAGAGATGTTGGTACTTAAAACAAAGTTGAAGGCCTTGGGCACTTCCAGTCAATAAGCCCATTATATAAGGCCCAGACAGACATAACAGATATGCTCTGGCATGAGTACAAGTGAAGCTGTCTGAGGGAGAGTAACAAACCTGTCCCAAATGTTTCAGTGAATGAAGTATTACCTTGATCTTAATTCCTTCCTTTTTCTTTTTTAAATTCTCGGTCAATTCAATCACTCACTCAGCACGCAGCCTCGAGCACATAGACTTTATATAAGCATTGAAGGATTATTACACACACCCTGAATGTCTGTATTCTGCCCTGCAGTGGGAGCTTTCAGTCAAATCCTTCTGTAAGGAAGACTCATCGGTGAAGGATCGTTTGTATCAATGCTGCAGACAAAGAGGCAGAGAGTTGTTCAATTGCTTCAACAATGACTCTCCAAACCCAAACTACGAACCAACAGAGGAGATCCCAGTGCAACTGCTGCCCTCTACTGCCAACTTCACTTTTGACCCCAAAACTTGCCCGAGGTATGTAGGGAAATGAATAGAACCTGCACAGGTGTTGACAGTCTTATTCCAGTAGCATCACAAACGCTCAGGCCACACTGGATGGCGTTTGGCCTGTGGCATGTCTTGTTTTTCATTTCCGTGCCCATGTTATCAGCTTAGAGCAGCCACACTGTATCACACTGCTTATTGTCTCCATGTACAGTTTAGATAGACAGTAAAAATGATCTGTTACCACAGTTTCAATGTCTTGTCTGTAAATTACTTATTAAAACCAAACTTACCAGAAAAATGAACACTTGAACAAACACCAGTGTGATATGACAAACTGTCTAAAAGGACAAAAAACATCTTTGAGAGAAATTTATATGACATATACTATATATATATTTATATAAAAAATTGGTCCATGTCCTACCTTCTAACATGGACGAGGCTGGATTTATGAACTATCCTGCTTCCAGTCACCAGGTGGAGATCCAGATGCTTTGGCTTGGGGAGCTGTCATGGCATCCATCTTTATATTCAGTCTACTGAACACACCTTAACACATTGTTAGTGATGGGATTTGAGGGTCACCAGTGTTTTCTAATTTATCAAAAAGCCTCTTACTTTACAGGACAATGATTACTCCACACAGTGTCAGAGGAAAGAAGAAGATGACACCATCTACATCACAGAAAGTGGACATCAACTTTCCTCCTGGACGACCCACTGCAGATTCTATTGAGTCACTGTGTCGCGACCAGGCCCTTCGTCCCCGCTACAGTGTAAAGTGCCTGCCAGGTACAGGCTACGAGTTGCTGTCTCGTCAGGCAAAGACCATCAATCGAATGGAGAAGGGATTCAAACATTGCTGCAAAAAGAAGCAGGACTTCCTCAACTGTGCTGAACAGAAGGTAAAGCATGAAACTTACAAACAGATATTATTCTTACAGATACAGTTTGGTACCGTCTCATGTACTTTTGTTTTGCTTTTGTATTTCAGTGGAGTGAGGAGCTTAACAAGTTTTGCTCGGTTAAGAAAGGTGGAAAGGTGGATTTCCATTGTTGTTCAGGTGAAGACGCAAATGATCGACTGAACTGCTTCCAAAACATTTCTCCTGACCCTCATTATAATATGACTTCTGAGGAGCTCTCACTCAACAGAATCTGCGACACTGAGAAGATCATCAAGAAGAAGTAAGATGGTGTTTTCTTCTTGTCTCCTTCATTCTTTTCTTGCTTACAGTTTCATTTCTTCTATTTGAAAACAAGTGGATCACAAGCTGCTTGATGTGTTGAAATCTCTACTGTTTTGAAATGTGCTGACACCTCCTTTCCTTTAATGTGTTCTTTGTTATTAATGTTGTTGTGGATCGAGACCCATCTGCACAATCCGTGACCAAAGAAAAGTCGGAAACGTTATTGATTTTTTTTCAGGTTCCCTGTTGGTTTTCCTCTCAAAAGCTTTGTTGAGCAATGCTGCCCCCTGTCTGAACAAGAGAAGACCATTTGTTCTTTGCAAAAGGTGAGATACAAGAAAGTAGCGAGTGTGCTGGAAACATTTTAAATGCAATATTTCAAACTGAATTTTAGTAGCTAAAAACTCAAAATCCAAATCCTCTGATGTGATTTCTAATATTTCTTGGACTTATTCTCTTCATGAAATTAGCTTGAGGAAGTGTCAGCATCCTTGTGTTTATTGGGCAAGGCCTCTTCTCCAGCTGCCCGCCGCTGCTGCCGCAAATCTTCACAAGAGACTCCCGACTGTATATCCAAAATTCTCATGGACGCCATCACCAAAGCAACCAAGGTCTTACGTCAGAAGAAGAAGAAAAGGTGCCCAATCTCCTAAATTCTTTTGATCCTTTGCTGCTGCGCATACTGGCACCTGGCCATTAGGGGAAAGGTAAAGCTCGAAGCAGAGGTATCATTCAGTCCCTAAACAGGAAAACTGTTGCAGAACAAATTATACTTAGTCACTTCTGTGAGATCGAAAGAATACACACAATGTGGACCAAATTATAGCTTCATCTGCTTTTGTCTGTGATCACATCTCATTGTTTGTGTATAAACAGATTTATTAATAAATGCATAGCTCATAAAATGGATGTTGTTACACATGTGTTCCCTTTACCACTGTTTATATTTGTTTCTTTTTACAACATTGCATTTTCTTGATTCTTTGGAGCTGCAAGATCAGTTCTCTCCTTTTTGTTGTCGTGGTTAGTATCCTATCTACAACAGTCCTAATAAAACATTTTTAAAATATATATTTGTGGGCCAACATTTTCTTCTCAAGCAGGTGTAATTTTGAGTAACAAATGAGTAAAAACAGTGTCACGGAAAGTTTGTTTTTTGATACATATATTTCTACAGTTTACAGAGCCCCGAATATTTAATGGGCAAATTACCATGAAGGTTTGTTGGATATGATGTGAAATTTCCACGAGATCAAACACTTTATGGTTATTCATCATCAGAGCATTATATGGGGGGGAGCAGTCAGAATTGACCAGCTATCAAAGGGATGAATTTTTGGTTAAAACGGAATGGCATCTCTCCTCATCCACCTACAAATCACCTGTTTATACCTTAAAAAACCTACAATATTAATTATTAATTTACTTAAAGGTACAGTGTGTAGAATTTTGTGATATCTAGTGTTGAAATTGCATGTTGCAGCTGAATACCCCTCATCTTCCCCTCCCCTTCTACACATGACAGAGAACCTGTGGTAGCCTTTAATTGTCATAAAAACTCAAAAGGTGTTCAGTTTGTCCAGTCTGGACTAATGTAAAAAACATGGCTGCCTCCGTAGAGAGGGCCCCCTCGATGTAAATATAAAGTATTTCAATATAAAGGACCTTTTCTGGGCTTAAGAAAACTACAATTCATACAATTTAGATGAAATGAACTAGTGAAAACATCATGAGGATTATTCTACATTAAATATCTGCCAATAGTTTCCTTTCACCTAAATCGTACACACTGGACCTTTAAGCACACCATCTGTATTCATCTGTAGTACTAATTTCAGGGCCCACTGTTTAATGAAGCTACTTGTTTTGTTACTGGGAAAGAATTACTGTCAATAGGAGTAGACGATATTGCCTGTAGATACAAATCTAATCAGGCGATATTGTTATAATTATCATGCATTCACATCAGTAAAATTTTCTGTTGACACCGGAAGTGCCTCTCCGAGCTACCGCTGCCACGATTTCAGCTTACTCTTACTGCCATAATGGCGACTGCTGAGACGGCGGACCCAGCGGACACAGCCCCGACAGGTACCCACCGACTCCATCTCCTTCCTCTGCGGTCCTCACTCCTACATCCCAACACATCGGTTAAACATTTTGTGGCGATTAAAACAAAAAAATGGTGTGATGCGGTGACGTTGGCTGCGTCGCGTCCCTGGTTAGCCCGTTAGCCAGCTAGCTAGCATCGAGGCTTTCAACCTAACAAATGAACAGAGCAGGGGTCTAGCTTGTTTAGCTGCCTGGTGAATCCACCTTCATTGTTGTTAACCACACAACGCTTGACTAAGTAACATGTCTTTATCATTGCCAATAACATGCAACGGAATATTTCCCCGGACCGCGTTGATCAAGCGGTGTTTTGTTGTCAAGCCGGTTATTTGGATAACGGTGTTTTATTCTGTGATGGTGAGTTAGCAGGAGACTAAAGCATGATGTTGCATTCATATTACTACATTCACGTGAATCTATTGTTGAGTAAATGAACGGGACGTGTTCTGTTGCTGTTTTGAATGGTCGTCTGGGAGAAGTTAACGGTGTCCACCCCGTTATTCCCTCGTCTTCCTCGGCCGCGACACCCCTGCTCTTCCTCCGCCTGTCTGTCTTGGTTTGTGGTAAAAAAATCAAAAGCTAACTACATATTTCCATTTGGTATTTAACTCTCCAGTTTCACAGTGGATGTGATGTAGTTTCCAAAACACACATCGATCCTATTGGCCTCCTACATTTTTTTTTAAGCGATGACACAGGCTGATCATGCTTCTCTAGTTAAGGGACAGGCTTCTGTGGTCCTGTTGTCCATGTTGAGATGATGAAGGGTTTGTCTGGGATCTCGAATGTCACTTCCATTCATGGTGAATTGCTCATGAGCTGCACTCATCTCTGTTTTTCAGTGCCCACACAGTTACAGAGGTTGTGATGCTCATGTGGTTACAGGGGTATTTTATTTTCTAAGGGCAGGACCTTGACGATAGAGTTTCATCCTTGTCATCCATTTAGTTGTGCGTCAGTTGTTTGCTTCTCTGTGTATATAGGAGTCTCTCTTCACCCCCTGGTAGCCACCCAATCTGAATCAGTGAATAAAAATAGTGGCTTCAGAGCTCCCCCGTGGCTCCCACCTGGCTGAGAGCCTGCCACTGTACAAATACAAGATACAGCTTTCTGTCAAAACACTCACACTTGTGACAGTAACATAACATGGTTTCCTGTATTCGTAACTGATTGGCCTTGTTTCCTAATCAGACTGAGAACCAGTATATTTATGAAAGTCTTCATCAATGATTTCAAGAGAATGTGCATGTCCCATATTTTTTTAACAGGCTGCAGGGGACATGTGAACAAGACTGGCAGGGAGTTATTTTGTATACATGGACGAACAGATGGTTTGTCTCCTGTCTTTGGGTCTGCCACCGACAAGCTAAAGTGATTGTTAAGTAATTAGGTTAATCTAATTCCTACCTCGAATCTGCTGCACCATGTGTAAGTGTCTGGTACAGCTTTGAAATTGCAATGTAATGAATATACAACCACAATGGGAGATTATTTTAACTAATGATTATCCTGCCAATTATTTTGTAAAGTCCAAACATTGTCTTCAAATTACTATGTATCCAAAACCCAAAGTCATAATGTATTGATATAATAGTTTGATATAATAGTTTTTTCATAATTGCATTATTGACTTCTCATTTCAGCACTAGGTATAGTATGTTTTCTCCCACTTATATACAGTCATGATGTGTCCAGTGTTGCTTCTTTACTAGGTTAAGCCATTTAGGCTGACTCTGTCCTGCTCCACAGATATTAGGACGCAGTTCTGGAGAAGAGCATTACAGCGAGGTACTCGCATGGGTCTGCGTGAGTGTTTCTTTGTGTGTGTGAAACTGCAGAAACTGCATGAGTTGTGATGCTATAGTGTGTCATTTTTTACGTAATGGGAGGGAATGTGGGCAGAATGCTGCTCCCTGTTTCCCGCAGGGTTGCAGTGTGTCCCTGCTTACTCAGAACAGATGCATCGTATTCAGTGATATTAACACTCCCACCTTTCTTCGGTTGAGGTGTCCACTTATTGCTCATCGAGTGAATTGGACCTGCTGGACGAAGATTTCACACACAGTATTGGTACTACAGGTGTATAATCTTCCTAACAGCACCTTTTTGTATGTGTGTTGACCTGTGGCACTGCAGCATTCAAGTGGATGTTGCCATTGGTTACAAGCTGGAGGTGCTTGCACAGTGGGCGAGGAAGTAGTCTTGACTATTTCTTTTATCTCAGCTGTTTTTGTTGTGCTCCTTCAGGTGCAAAGACCAGGTATCTGGGAGATGTTTTTCACTTTAACTTATCTTAGGTTTTCAAGCCAGTAAATTTTCCACACATGGTGACAGCACAAACTTTCAACTCTGATATCAGAGATTTAAATAATTTCCAATACATATAAATATTGGCTGATATATGGCAATAATTCTTAAGATTCTGTTATCAAACCTTAATGACAAAGAAATATAATTGAAGCTTGATATTGTACATATTTAACATACATTTTTATCATAAATAACTATAAATAAGAAGAAAAACAAATATAATCAAATATCTTGCAGTTGGATAAAAAAAGCTGTTAAATGGAAACATAAATGTACTTATCTTTATTGTCTTTAAAATGAATGTTTTCATCTTGTCATATATGTGCAAACATAAGCATAATATCTCTGTAAACGGCTCATAATTGGCTAATTGACACATCGGTCAGTCTCCTGTGTCTACCTGAATGTTAGCATTTTAGATTTAATAGGTTGATAAAAGCGAAGTGACTATGACACACAAAGTAGGCTGTGACATTAAATAAACTAGAAATCATCATAAAAAAATAACCGGGAAAGGATGTGATTGTCGACTCACATCCTTTGGGATCAGATGAATCTGGAGCAGCCAGCTCATGGGACAAGTAGTTCCAGTTCACTGAGAGCTGGAGGTATCAGCGGCAGCAGTTAGTAACTGTGGACACATTTAGATCTGGGCTCATCGCTGACTTTATAGTCATCAGCCAGTGCTGGAAATAGCCAGACTAATTAACCAGCAGAACGTTTCTCAAAGAGTCATTAACAAATTCTTCCATGTTAAAAGCTGCGAAGTCAAAGCATTTAACATGATTTCAAGCATCATGTTTGCTCAGCCTCCACAGGCTGATATGGGTCTTGTGAAGTGGAGTCTGAACACGGGAACTATCGATTTCATAGTCTTTTATATTTTTACTTGTAGGTTCTCAACAGTCATTAACTTGTTTTTCTGTTTTAGGGACAAGCAGCATCCGAAAAATGTCCCCATCAGAGGTAAGAACATAAAAAACTGCCTAACTGAATTGACAAAACACTTCTGCTATATGTATAGCCCCAAGTAAATGTGAGCGCAAGCGTTCATGCTGTCATCAGTCTGAGATGTCAGGCACTGAAAACATAAAATGTTTCCTGCAAATAAGAGACACCTTTACTACCGTAGTGATAACAGGTGAATACATAACTGAGAAAAACATGTGCTTGGCAGTTTTTTTCTTGTGGAACTTGTATACTGTCAGTAGCAACATGAGTCAACAATGAATAATTCCCCAATGTTGTTACTGTAACTAGGGTTGGGCTGACAGTCATTACAATGTTGAGCCCAACATACACACACACACTCGCACACACACACACACACACACACACAAACATACATACATACATGTATAAATGTTTCCCCCTCCTCAGATGCCTGGCTCTTCTAGCACAACTCAGAGTATGAAGAAGACCATTGGACACCGGGGCGTCGAGACCACCACAGGAGAGACCACCTATAAAAAGGTGAGAACAAGATGGGGGTCAGTGACACCGGTTTGTTGACAACCTCAGCACAGCAACAGAGGTGAAAAGGGGAAAGGAACCAGTGTGCATGCCCATAAGTTTTGTGTGTACGTTCTAAAATTAGTTTGGAAATTCCTAGAACTAGACATCCAAAAATCGCGGGTGCAAAATGGTGCAGTGCTTACTCTCTCTGTTCCTCTCCAACCTTTCTAGACCACGTCATCTGCCCTGAAAGGCGCAATCCAACTGGGTATTGCTCACACAGTTGGCAGTTTAAGTCAAAAGGCAGAGAGAGATGTTCTCATGCAGGACTTTGTGGTGGTCGAAAGCATCTTTTTCCCCAGGTTGGTAGCAGAAGTCCCTGAATAAACAGTGATTTTTCTTCAAATATTGTTGTTTCATTTAAGGTGATGGCCCCCCTGTCTTTTTTCTCTGTCTCTCATATTTTTCAGTGAAGGCAGTAACCTGACACCCGCTCATCACTACAATGACTTTCGCTTTAAGACCTACGCTCCTATTGCCTTTCGTTACTTCAGAGAACTGTTTGGCATTCGGCCAGATGACTATCTGGTCAGTACTTACACCAAACACACACATCCAAGTTTATGAAAAGTACTTTGGCTTTGTCACTCCAAATTGAAATGGCAGCTGATATATTTAGTCAAACTACTCTAATAAAGTTACTGTGCATTCAGAAATCAGTGGCCAAGAGGCACCATCATTATGCAACTATTATATGCACTCATTCCCAAACAGGCCTTTATTTTACATCTTTTTTAGCACCTCTCCTGTGAATCCTCTGTCAACCTCTTGACAGCCACCTGGGGGTTTAAGAGTCACTCATATAGTTAAATTAGAGTTCTGCATGTGTTTTGAATGGATACTAATGGTGACTCCTCTTCCTCTTGAAGTATTCTCTGTGTAACGAGCCACTGATCGAGCTGTCTAACCCCGGAGCCAGTGGGTCAATCTTCTATGTCTCTAGTGATGACGAGTTCATCATCAAGACCGTTCAACACAAAGAGGCTGAGTTCCTCCAGAAACTCCTGCCTGGATACTTCATGGTGAGCCTGGCTTGAATGCTTTCAGTATGAGTGATTGTTATTGCAATGAGAGTAGGAGGCTTGAGTAGGAGCAAAAGTTTCTTCCTAGTTCAAGTGTGTCAAATCTCAAATCTCTTTGTCCATTTTCCTGCTCCCTTCTAGAATATAAACCAAAACAAGCGCACCCTGCTGCCCAAGTTCTATGGACTATACTGCGTTCAGCGTGGGGGCAAGAACATCCGCATGGTAGTGATGAACAATCTTCTCCCCCGGATAATTCCTATGCACCTCAAATACGACATGAAGGGCTCCACCTACAAGAGACGAGCCTCTCCTAAGGAGAGAGAAAAGGCTGTTCCCGCTTTCAAAGATTTGGACTTTATCCAGGACTTGCCTGACGGTCTGCTGCTGGAATCGGACAATTTCAATGCTCTGTGCAAGACTATACAGAGGGACTGCTTGGTGAGTCACAGAGATTGACTGTGATTAAAGTGTTGTTCACTCAAGCCTCTTGGCCAACATGGAAATACATGATACTTATGTGTGCAGTTACAATATACAAGCGTACTCAAATTCCTAAAAGCCAGATGTTGTCATCTTGTTCAAGCTTAATAAAATAGTTCAATAAATTATTTCACAGTTTAAATGTTTTCTAAACCGATTTCTTCCAATAAGATGCATTAAACACCGTAAAGCCAGTCTAAAACTGGTTTGGCGGAATTATTGCAAAATGCATTACAACACACCCAGAAGATTTTTTTATTTTTAAATTTGAAACTGTAAAATAATGTGTTGAGCTATGGATCCAAGATTAATATGTTGTGCAGACACTTTTAGTATTTTGTCATGTTGCAGCTTTTTGCAAAAATCTTCATATCGATCTACACTCAATTTAGTAATTTGGCAAAATTATTAAAAAGGAAACTCCATAATGTCACATTGACTGCGGTATACATACGACCGACTTTGAGATGTTTCTACACCTTGACAGGAGTCCAGCTGCTGTAAATTTATCAGTAGGCTAATTGCCGCTTTGTTATTGTGTGTATCTTATCACACTCAACAATTGTGAATTGTGTCCATGCTGCTGTTTGATGGTGTTTCTGTCCTTTCCAGTTCAGATGCTGAGATGTTGTCTGAGTGTCTGTGAGTGTTTGATTGTGCCCATAATACAGTGTGTGTACTGTACTTACCCTAATCGATGGTCGTGTCTCTATGTGTTTCACTTAGTTATTACAGAGTTTCAAGATCATGGATTACAGTCTGCTGGTGGGCATCCACAACATGGACCAGGCCAGTCGAGAGCGAGAGCGCGGTGGAGGCTATTCCGGGGACAGTTGTGGGTCGGAGGGAGCTGTGACTCCAGACCAGCGCCGGCCGCAAGCCCAGAAAAGTCTGTACTGTACAGCCATGGAGTCCATCCAGGGGGAGGCTCGAGGGAAGGGAGCTTTAGATTCAGAAGACCAGTAAGTTTAATAGCCGACCTCATCACAAGCTTTTTTTTATTTGGTTTGTAATTTGTGACTGGGACTGGACAATAGATTTAAATGAGTTGATTCTCTGGCCATGTTCTTCCAGCATGGGTGGTATTCCAGCTCGTAACAGTAAAGGAGAGAGGTTGCTGATCTACATCGGCATCATCGACATTCTCCAGTCCTATCGGTCAGTTCTCGGAGCAGCCAAATCACTTCCTCACTTCAACATTTGTTCTTAATTCATGAGCAAGCCTTCCACCTGCATTGCTGTTTTACACAACTCGTTTTCTTTTGTCTTCTTATTAAGATTCATTAAGAGGTTGGAACACTCCTGGAAGGCGCTGGTCCATGACGGGGTAAGAGCTTACACACCCAATTTTTCATGAAAGAAATGGATATAAATAGTGTTGATATAAAAGCTTGCTTAAGACTGTTCAAAACCTAATGAAAGTAATGATCGTAATGATTGCATGTCAACTTAAATATGTTAGTGTTTGTCAGGTTCTAATAGCTTCTGTTGCTTTTTCACTACTTCAGGACACAGTTTCAGTTCACAGGCCTGGCTTCTATGCAGAGCGTTTCCAGCAGTTCATGTGCAACACAGTGTTTAAGAAAATTCCACGTAAGTATGCATTTGTGATGTTTACGTCCCAATTCATTTACATTTTAGAAATTAATTAAAATTGAAAAATGTTGGTGTCTATGTGTATCCACCTTAATGCTCTCTGTCTTCTTCAGTAAAACCATCACCATCTAAAAAGAGTCGTAGTGGAGGTCAGGGAGGTCTCAGGCGGGCCCCCACCCTGGGAGCTCCCAGCCCGCTCTCCAATGCAACAGGGCAGGTATCTCTCGACTCCAGAATGATGTACCACAGCCACTACAAAAGCACAGAGTCAGAAGCTGACAGTGGTAAGAGCTGAGGCATCATGAAAATTGTACTCCATTATTTTCATAGCTGCACTCACACTGGATATACTGGTGTTGAAAATTATGATAAATATGTTCTCAGGCGTGCAGTCGGGCAGATCTGATCTTGTTCTGAGGACCCCTCCGCTAGACAACCCTGCTGATAGTGAGGCCAACCTCTCCACCTCATCACTAGGCAGCACAGGAGTTGCCTCCACCTCTCCTCCGCTGCGGTAAAGATGATAATAAATTAATTTGTATAGCACTTATCTAAATAAGTTTACAAAGCGCTTCACAAAATCCATAGCAAAAATTAATGAATTAAAATAAAATGTATTCAATTCAGTTCAATTTTATAACATATTATGGTCGAAACCAAAAACATTTGTAGAGAAACACAACAGTTCCCACGTGTAATGTATTATGTTTGTTCTTCCATCTCATTTCCACAGTGTTTTTTAATTTTCTTTGCTCTGATGTTTCTTTGCAGTTCTGTTGGAGTGGAAGTGCACAAATCCGCAAACACAGACCACGACCATAATCACAGGTACAGAATGCAGTTATAGAACAAGGAAGAACAGCATTTTTCTCAATTGTGTTTGAGGTTTTGTCTCACTAACCATTTTCTCTGTGCCAGTTTTGGCGAAGATGGGGCTGCAGATAATTCTGGTAACCTCTCTGGAAATGAAGATGTAGTTTCACTATCAGACATCATCCCCGAGACAAACATCTGTTTTGTAAGTATAAACAATTATATATAAATCTGATTGAATTTTATTCATAATTTTATTTTGGTGTCTGTCATTTCCTGTCATAATCTTTGTATTGCTTTTATTGTCACAGTAAAAAACCGACACAGTGCAATCCAAGAATGAGGAGTTTCTGGCCTGGTCCAAGTGGGTGGAAGTAAGGATAAAGAGAACGAGCATCCAAAGCAGAACCTTTGTTGCACTTGTGATGTTTTCTCACCCATATGTACCGTATATACAGGGGTCATTGGATGATGCTTCAAGGTGGAGGGGAGATCACAGCGGTATTTAAAGCAATGAGAAGTAGTGTGCGGTAGGCCTGAGACTTTCCCAGCCATCAACAAAGTGTGTACTGTGTACACTATTTCCACACCTGCCCCAAAGCTCCATTCTCTTTTCATAACACCTCAGAAAAAAAAAAGAATGATCCTGAATTGGAAGCTTATAAATAGCCTTGAATTGCAACATTAATTGATTAAACCAGGGTTCTCCTTCATCTTTGCAACATGTCTGCTGCAAGGTAAAAATAAAATGACCTGTATATAATGAAAAAGCCCCTTGTCACAAGTGGATGGTGAAGGCAGGCAAATTCTCCAGAAGAGTCTGTTTGTGCTCATTTTCACAGCATGAAGAGATGTGAGTGGGCACAGACAGCCTTTCAGCAGGAATACACACACTTACAGAGCACATGAAGGGCATAGCCTGCATTTGTAGGAGTGAATATTTTCCTGTGTTCATGCACAGTCTAGATGGGTTGACATTTCTGCGGCTCATGCTCTCGTGTTCCTATTAACTCCTAACCCCTCGGCATGCCAAGTGTTTAGGGGGGGAACTCTGAGCTATCATTGGTCATTGTTCAAATCAACACTTGCTGCTGTCAACTCTGCAATCAAGTATGCATTTCTTTTTTGCTGTTTGTGGATGTACAGTATTTGTTTGAAGTCAGACTTTAGAAACGCTGAAGGGATGGGTTGAACCAGACCTCTACGGTAATATAGTTTCACGGCTTGTGATAAGATTTTCTGCTGGAAGCCACGGTGGTGCTGCAAAGGTCCAACCAGATCTTGCCGTTGCTGAATGTACATTACATTTTTTTTCTTCTAATTTCATAGAACGTGTCTTATTCAGATCACATTATTACAACCCTGAAATTCTCCCCCTCTGATGTGACCATATGTGCTGAAGTATAAATGAACACGGAAAGATGAGGTGCCGACAGCACTGCTGAACAGTAGATGCTGTCAAATGGTATTAAGTTAATAGAACAGTAGCATCCAATCTACTGTCTGTCATCTGTCATGTGTGCCTTTACTTGTTTGTCCCTCCCCTAACATGATGTATATCTGACATTTTCAAAGGTTCGTGTCGTAGTTGTTCAGAGAAACCTGCCTTATCACTACAGCTGACGTCATCAAACTGCCATTTGTGTGTCTGGACCAACTCATCAGTTGTCAGGGTTTAAAAAGAATTTCACATTTTAATGAAAACACTAGTACAATCCCTTTTGGTTACATTCATGTTGAGTGTTCGGTCACTTCTGGCATCAGACAGAACAGATCTATGTTTCATTCATTTCTGCTGGTTACAGAAATGACACATGGCCACATCCACTCTTGGACCAATATTACTAATCGTGTGTAAAACCATTTTCTATTTGTATGTGGTCTTATTCAACTTTAACTTGGTAGTTCATAATTAAGCTAAGCACAAAGTGTCTATCTTATTGTTTAGGGCACTAAACAAGCCCCAGATGTTGCTGAAAACTTTCTACCCTCAGAAGATATTTCTGATTCTTAGATTTGAATCGTAGCACAATCTTAGACATTATCTCATTTAATGAATTGCTCTTCATGTCCGATAAGCACATGTGGTCTGTGCAGCAGAGAGGGAGGAAATGTGAGTTATGAAAATACAAAGAAAGTTAATGACTCATTAATGCACAGTTGAGGATTCAGGACTGAGTCTTTTGTATTATATGCCAGACAAGGCACCAAAGAAAAGAGTAGGGAGTTCCTGTGAATGTTCAGGATCCAGTACAGATGACATGAAGAAGAAATAAGACACTCCTGAAGTGATATGTTTTATATGGTAATAACACTGGGTAGACCTGTGTTTTGAATCTATAATTATACTGGATGTGTATTGTTTTTCTTTTTTCTTGCTTTGTTTATCAATGATTTTATGTCTAAGAATCTGTGTCTGACATAAACCTGGTATTTTTACTTTGGCCTGAAACATTTCAAGAGTTAACTCCACATTCCTGTGAAATCCTGTGAGAAGTTTAATTTGCTGCAGTCGTGGTAGCTCTTAGAACCCATTATTTTACCCACCCTTTGTGTAGTCCGGCGAATGTACTTTTGATTACTTCTGATATTATGTAAAATGCTGATTTCCTCAAAACAGATCAGTCTAAAGTTGTACTTAGTCGGTTGAGAGTCAAACTGCCACCAAAGAAAAACACTCCCCTGAAAAATCTTATTTAAAAAAAAATAATCTGACTATATTTTTTGTGGGTGCTTGAGTTTTTTTTTTTTTTAATGGGTGGTACTGTGTAATTGCTGGATGCAGACCACTTGTGTCGCAGTTGTTATGTACTAAACCAGTGGCAAAAGAGAAACGTCATCCTCCGGTGCTTAAAGGGCACTCAGCATAGACACTACAATACATTTGAAGTAATGCAATATGAACCACAATCTGCCACCTCTCAGCTCTAACAAGTGTATTTATTAATATGATTGCTGGTTGTAGTCTGAAATGAGAAAGTTGTGTTATGTAGACGATTGTACGTATACTGTAAACTGACAGAAGGATGTCTGAAACTTTATAGCGTGTGTTGCCTGTGAAGGGGGACAATTTGACAATTTGACTTTTTATATTTCATGTTTAGATTGTGATATGATATATTCTCTCCATGATGATTCTGGGTCGTTCAGCTCCCATGCTTTTTCTACATGAATGTTTCACGTGGCTCACGAGCCAACGTTGCTGGTTGTCCTATATGCTTCAATTACTATATTTCTACTGTGTATAAAATGTGTATATGTACATATAGGAGTCACGGAAATGCCTTCTCATGCAACATGTGCTGCCTGTCCCCCCGCCCTGCCATGTTTCAGTTATGTGGTGGTGATGTTTTCATGTCTGATTTTAAAAGATTAAACATATTTTCTAAATCTTGGTTTTGATCCCCCTCATTCATAAGTGTTGTCTAATTACCTGTTATCAGGAGTTTTGTGAATACAAGGAATACAACCACATTCTAAGTTTCTAGAAAGATTTTAATAATCTCTGCAGAACTCATTTTTCACATGATAGTGAATGTTGCAACAAATGTGCTGACTAGCGATTAATTCACTATTTTACACCATGTTACATATTATGTTGGTCATCTTCCACATAAACCTGCCCTGAGATTTCATAATCCAGAGACCCCCCAGTTGAACACATGCCTGGGGTGAAGTGACTGCCTCTCATATAGTAGTTAGTAAGGACGTGGTTCCACATGTGGAGTTTTGAAATCATACCAACAAAAGACTGATTTGCATCAAAGCCCCCGTCATAGCTGTCCTGTTCTTGACCCAGGATGGTGATGGGCTCTCCTGTGATGGGCTCTCCTGTGATGGACTGTCCAGATTTGATGTATCTCTTGATGGTTGGCAGGCCGTCCACCCACAGCTGAGCCAAGCCATTGTCAGACTGCTAGGTGGAACACATGGAGGGCCACGTGTTTGGAGGAAATGACAGCGACAGGAAGTCTGTTGCGCCGTCCCGGGCATGTATCCTGATCACATCCTCTGAATCGATCTTAAAGAGCACAAAGTCATTGAGGTGTGTTGGAGTAGACAAAGAGAAGAGGCCGTAGTTCCTTTTGAGATCTGTGAGGAATCTGAAAAGAAGAACCAGCTGTAAGAAACCGAGGGAAACAGTTCTACAAATATATCCACATCACACATGATTTGTGATTACACCACCTGAGACAGACGGTCACAGAACTGAACGTGGTTTGATCTGTGAGGAGTTTGACGTGATCACTGTTGCTCTCCTTGGAGAAGACGAACACTTTACCCGACAGATCTGCACGGGTGGAAAATCGAACAGTGATTCAGTTGAGGAGAGTGAGCAAGAATACCGACCATGTTACCAAACATAAACTGAAGAATTCTGTTATATTTCACCAATCAAATACTGCTTTATGCTAAGAAAGCTCTTTAATTAAACAAAGGTCGACGTACCTTGGTGAAGAAAGTATTTCATCATTTCAAGTGTGCAACATGTACTCAAGTAAAAGCAACCATACCACATTAACTTGTCTAATTGAGTAAAAGTAAGTACTTGCTTTTAAATATACTTGAAGTATCAAAAGTAAAAGAACTTGCCGAGTCTAGCCTATTCCCTAACACTAAGGTCTACTCCATCATTAACTTTATGTGCCTACTGTATATTTTAATATATGAATAGTACAGACTGTCATATATATCTTTTAAATAGGGTCATGGGTATGGTATGGTATATATGGAGTCTCTGTGGTTTCCATTTTAGCACTTTCTTTACCAGTGTTAATGCTGCCGCTGCAGATGCACTTTGCTCTTATTGAATGAGGCGTTGTCAAATGTTACCTGCCTGCTCTGATTGGCCCAGTGGACCAATTCCCCTCTTGTTAATGAATAGTAGAAAGTTCAAATATTTAATAATATGTTTTTAACATTTTGTCAAGAAGCTCACTATGTAGTCCTCTAATAACCTTTTACCACCAAGGCAGTTCAAGGGCCGGTTCGGAGCCATTGCCTAATTGCAAACCATTTTTTCCTGCTTCGACAGCCAAAGAACTGGCTCTCGGAAAGCAAACTAGTTCTTTAAAGGTACAGTGTGTAGAATTTAGTGATATCGAGTGTTGAAATTGCATGTTGCAGCTGAACACCCCTCACCTCACCCTCTCCTTCCAAACATGACAGAGAACCTGTTGAAGCCTTTAGTTGTTATTAAAAACTCAAAAGGTGTTTAGTTTGTCCAGTCTGGACTACTGTAAAAAACATGGCATCCTCCGTAGAGAGGACCCCTCGATGTAGTGTTTAAATATAAAGGGCCTTTTCTAGGGTAAAGAAAACTACAATTTAGATGAAACGAATTAATGAAAACATCGTGAGGATTATTCTACATTAAATTGCCAATAGATCCCTTTCACCTAAATCTTTCACACTGGACCTTTAAAGGTTGGTGAGTTGAACCAAAACATTTCTTGTCACATAAATTTGCAGTCCAGGGCCCTGAGTGGGGGGCCCCCTTTTTCTGTGTTGCCCCTGACCTTTGGAGAGTCTGTGCACACCACTGATCCTGGCTGTGGAGCCCACAGATATTAAAAAACGTGAGTTATTAACTCACACGTAGATTGAGTCGAACAGCTGGAGTTCACATTGATATCACCGGGATTTAAAGACACTGATAATCATAACATTGTAGTTCATACAAAAGAAAACTTCATTACCCACAAACCACCACGTCGACGTAGTGGATCACGGACGTCAAGATGGGGCTGGAAAGTACTATGGTCTGGTAAGGACACAGAAACACGTTTAAAGTTAATAAGTGGACTCACAGTGAGACACCACCTGAGATGTGAAGTGTGGACGTGAGCAGTTTGTCTTCGTGTCAACAGTCGTGCAGGTTCACTCGATATATTTTAGACTGAAGATGCTCGGGCTATCTCCTGAGTCACCTAGCTAATGTTAGCTAGCTGTAGCCTCCAGAACAAAGCTAACCGACAGCTTTGCCAGCAAGTTCCGGGCATTCTATCATGTTAGATCTTTACTAACGCTAACCGGTGTAGTTGTGCTGTTTATATGTGCGGGTCTCACATGGAGCTGAACCGTCATTGAATCAAAAATGTCGTTGTTTAGCGCGCAAGCATTAGCTAGCTAACAAAACCTGTCATCACATGAGGGGGTCTGTTGTTGCCTTCACTTGATCAACATGATAAACCAGAAAAAACATGTTTATTCAGTTATGTTGTTCTTCTTCTAAAAACACTGAGAGACAAGACACAGCAGTAATATTGTTGTAAGCATCAGCACTACACTGCAGGTTTTAGTTTTCATTTTCATTGTTGTATTGTTTTCATTGGGGCTGCATCGTTTATTTATTTTTATGTTTAGAGAATTGGTTTTGAAATGTTTTCAGTCATTTGACACTAAAGAAATAATGAAATCACCCGTCATATTATCCCTACATTGAAAAGATAGTTATTAATGGTTTCAAACAACCTAAAGCTGATAATATCTGCCTTTTACAAGCAGATATCATTAAATGTTTGACACTGCTGCTTGATTACTTTATTCTGCCACTAATCGTTTTTTCTAAACTGTCAATTGACTCTGTTGATCCATTTGTTTGTCATTATAATCACAGAGAAATACAGAGAAAAATATATGTATTGTTTATGGATATACAACCAATACTTGTCCAATCTAGGGCTGGTAACAACACAATATCAATTATGGCAGTATGATTTCCATCAATAGCAAAACAACAGTGGTTAAATATATATCGATTCAGTGCTCATGCATCGTTATGTCACAGTGAGAAACATAATTGATCCACCTCACATTCGTAAAATGTTTTGCTGTTTAAAGAATCTGTCTTTAAACTGAAAAGAAATAATAATGTGACATTTATCATGATAATTACTGACTGATATAAATGTTTTATCTCAATATTTTTGGCCGTATCATCCAGTTCTAGTCCAATCTGTGTAATTTACATGTTGTTGTTGGAAGTGATCATTTAGCCTGTTGTTTATGCTTCTTAGTGTGGACAACAGTGAGTACATGCGAAATGGAGACTTTCTACCCACCAGACTGCAGGCTCAGCAGGATGCAGTTAATATTGTTTGTCACTCTAAGACCCGCAGCAACCCTGAAAACAACGTGGGACTCATCACCATGGCAAAGTAAGGGGCAGTGTGTTTGAATTAATGTAGTGACATTTAAAGTATGATAATCTAATAACAGAAGTGTGTTATGGCTCTTTGCAGCAACTGTGAGGTGCTGACCACACTGACTCCAGACACAGGAAGAATACTGTCCAAGTTGCATGCTGTGCAGCCTCGTGGAAACATCAGCTTCTGCACCGGCATCAGGGTGGCACATGTGAGTTTGTGATTTGTCACTACACAGTGGGGGAGTACAGTGTCCTCCATTCCCTTTCGGGTGACACCACTAGAGGAAAAAAGATGAAATTAAGGAACATTTGAACATGTTGACAGATTACTGAAAAATTACTGCTGGAAATTTAAACAAGCCTTTTTCTAACCCAATCAATACAATACAGTCTGCTTATTATAATTCATTACCCCTGTTCTTTCCCTGCTATGGTATGCAAATGTCTGGTGTAAAAGAGTTTGACCTTCTGTTTGTCACTGAAGAGCATTTTTCTCAAGTCACATTGTCTTATCTTTTTATTCACTGTGTTTCTCTCTGTAGTTGGCATTGAAGCACAGACAGGGCAAAAACCACAAGATGCGCATTATTGCATTCGTTGGAAGCCCAGTTGAGGACAACGAAAAAGAAGTGAGTTAAACTCAGTGTGTTTTCCATATTATTTCTGTCATGGCATATCAGATAGACTTTCATATCATGCTTTAAAGATTTGGATGTGATGGTAGACAGTTATTAGGATAAATGGTTGAGAGTACACTAAGTGCACCTGGAACATGGCTGCGCATCGACACCAAAGCAATGATTCTTCTACCTGCGTTACATTAAGAATTTACAAACTCAGCAGCAAACGTCAGCAAGTTAAACATAATATACTTCCAATAATGTAGAAGTATTTAAATATTTTAGTATTTTAATATTTTAATTATACTGTTACATTATCACTGGAAATGTGCAAATGTCAGAGGCCTCGTTCATAGGATGATTAAATTAGTACTTAAAGTGCCTTCCTCTTTTCCTGTAGCTGGTCAAAATGGCAAAGCGTCTGAAAAAAGAAAAAGTCAACGTGGATATCATTAACTTTGGAGAGGAGGTATTTTTTCATTAAAGCACCACACACACCCTCTTAGATATGTGCTATTTTATATATTTTATCACAAATAATTGGTGCTCCACATGTCCACCGTCTTTCTCTGCCTTGCAGGAGATGAACACAGAGAAGCTGACAGCCTTTATCAACACACTGAATGGTAAAGAAGGTGCCGGCTCCCACTTGGTCACAGTACCTCCAGGCCCCAGTCTGGCTGATGCCCTACTCTCCTCACCCATCCTGGCTGGAGAGGGAGGTGCAGTGTTGGGCCTGGGTGCCAGTGACTTTGAGTTTGGAGTGGATCCAAGTGCAGACCCAGAGCTAGCCTTGGTAAGAGAGCAGGGGAAATTTCAATTCCTCCAGGAAGACACAATCACACTATTGCGCTAGTCAATGTGAAATCTTTGTAACCTTCACCCATAGTAGCAGTCACAAAACGGGAAGCCAAACACATTTATGTCAAACTTGCTTTCTTGTGGAAATATCCCATAATAGTTCTTAGTAGAATGTATGTATTTATGTCATTCATGCTATACCTTAATTCCATTCATTCAGCTTTTTATCTTCCTCTTCTTTTTGCACTAGGCTCTGCGGGTGTCTATGGAGGAGCAGAGACAACGACAGGAGGATGAAGCTCGCAGAGCCGCTGTTGCATCAGCTGCTGAAGCTGGCATTTCCTCTCCTGTAGCAGATGGTAGGAAAAATGGATTTTGCCCATTTCCCTTCATTATTGCAGACATGGGGTTTATAGCTTTCAACATGAGTGTGTTCACATGGCATATTTCTCTTTCTGTTTCAGAGTCTGAGGATGCCCTCCTTAAGATGTCTGTTCCAACCACGGACTCCTCCACACCTGCTTTACCAGACTTCAACCGCATGACAGAGGATGAGCAGATTGCCTATGCTATGCAGATGTCTATGCAGGGACCAGGAGCAGGTAAATCATGCATTTAGAATTTTCAGAGTTTCTTTCATCAATGAATGAATGGCCTTTTGATACATGCTGTACCCATCAAATCAACACTATGGAATACAAACAAAATCAATTTACTGCAGGATCTTCATACTGAAATGAGAAGGGCAATTTGTTTAAAGTCTAGAAAATATCTGTTTCTGCAATTTATTGAACAGTTGTCTATTTATTCTAGTTACAACTGCACATTTTGTATATATTTATTATCACTGACACACTTCCTTATTTACTTTTGTGGCAACTATCTACAATATTAAAGTCACATTAGAGGAAGTAGACAGTTTGGAAAACAACGCCCCCTAACACATCCCATGTGTTTAGTTGTCAGTCAATATTTGTGCAGTTTACTATCTTATAAATGCAGCATGAGACCACAATGATAGAACTACTTCAGTGGTAGATAGTGGTATAGTTATTGTGACTTTAAATAACATAACTAATTCTGCAATATTTGTTTTTTTGCAATAAATATTCATTAGATGTGGTCGAAAAACACTCAGGTCAAAAATGAGGACAATTGACCACCAACCCAATTTTTCCTTCTCAAACAACATTTTTGTTCCTTTTTTTCCCCCTGCAGAGTTTGGAGCTGAGGACATGGACACCGGAGCTGACATGGATTCCAGTGAGGCGAAGGTAAGCACAGGCCTTTACCAGTTCTCAGTTGTCATTTGGTGGGATTGAAAGGCTTATGTTACAACACATTATTATCTGTATCTAGGACGAAGAGGACTACGATGTTATGCAGGATCCAGAATTCCTCCAGAGCGTCCTGGAAAACCTTCCTGGAGTTGACCCCAACAATGAGGCCTTCCGTAACGCCATGGGTTCTCTGGCTTCCCAGACTGGCTCTAAACCCGATGCCAAGAAAGACGAGGAGAAAAAGAAATAAACACTTGAAGAAGGGTTGAATATATGATGAATAAAAAAACCCTGAGAATTGCACTGCGTGTGTTTTTCACAGTTATGGTGTTACTCTCCTCAACACAGGAAATGTATTGTTCCTCTTTTGTTTATGTAGCTGTGTAAACTGTAAGCAATGTTTGCCTTTTTTCAACTTTAGTTTAAATGATTTCTGATTTTCAGTTTTTTGTTTCAAGCACATTTTTCCTTTTGAATCTTTTCTAATATAACTACTCAGCAGCATGGGCAGATTACAACTCTTAATAAATTTATAAGGTGAAACATCATGTGATTCTTGAAATTAATTTACTGTTGTGAAAGCTGCCACAGTTTTATCTTATCATCCTGCTTTTCCTAAATAGTAATGAATGTGGTATTGAAATTTGTGTGCTTGAATTACTGACTTTTGTTATCACTTTTTGTTAAAGGTGTGTATAATGATTTATATGATTTAACACAATGAATAAATGTGAATTCACAGACATACATGTGGACACAGTGAGAATGGAGGACAACAGTAGTGTTGTAACCTAATGACAGGTGACATCAGTAAATAAGTTTATACGTCTCAAAGGTCACATTTTATGATAATAGTTTGACAGCAAGAGAAAAGTTTAAAAAGGCTAGGTTTTAGTGCTTTTAAATATATGTATTTTTAAGCCATTTCCAAAAAATTAAAAGTGTTCTATTTATAGGTGTGCATCTAAGAATAAACAATAGAGGCACACATATCAAAGTATTTAATATCAATGTATAATATGTCCTTGTGTATTCTAGAAATACCCTGAAATAACAAGAAAATAGAAGTTTAAAATAGATATTCAAGAGTTTCATCATCTGAATAACAGAATTTACATATTTAAATCAATATTAAACCGAAAGAAAAAACAAGTGAGTTACTTTTACTTTAGGGGAAATGGGGAGATTGGTATATTTGATCTTTTCTTCTGGATAATCTTTTCGTATTTTGAAGAAGGGAGGATTTATATAATATACTATACTATATGATCTGGACTTGTTGAACACGTGCGGGACTCTCGGGAAATGACCGTCGCATGATGTGGTGACGGGAAACTTCTGCGTCCAACAGAAAAAGTCAGGAACCAATCGCAAACTAGCAGGTAATTAAAGCTAACACTTCAAGCTAACGTTAGCTTCAGCTAGAGTAAACCTTTAATACACGCATCAAACACGACGTATCAAGACGGTGTTAGCTACATGTCGCTCTGAGCGATTTACACTTTTAAACTGATTATTACAGGGAAGTTGGTCGCTTGACGTTAGCGAGGCTAGCTAGCAGGTGAATGCTAACACGTAGCTAGCTGTTAGCAGACGCTCCCACTTGTTGCTGCATGACAGTTGACGTCTTCAACTTTGTGTCACTCGTTTTGCTTCATCACAAGTGTGTGTGTGTGCGTGTTCATCGTCAGTGAAGTGTGTATTAGAAGAACAACACACCAGCAACTTGTTGCTTCGACCACAACACACCGGAGCTTCCTGTAGTAACAGCTGTTTACAGACGGAGGAGTTCAAACTCAGCTCTGTCAACACTTTGGATTAAATCAGGGTTACACGTTTTACTCTTATGTGTATTTATATGAGTGTGTTTTTGCTTGATAGGTGTTGAGCCTTGTGCCGGCAATGGGGGACATGAAGACCCCAGATTTTGATGATCTGCTGGCAGCTTTTGATATTCCTGACATTGATGCCAAAGAGGCCATCCAGTCAAGTCCAGAGGAGCAGCAGGATGAAATGGGGACCAACGATGAGGCTGGGTCTCCGTCATGCTTCCCCTGCTCTCCTGCCTCAGACTCAGACCGCCCTTTGGTCAGCGTCATTGTGAAGAACACAGTCCGGTCCGAGTCTGTTGAAGAGGAGGAGAAGTCTGAGGATGATAAAACAGACAATCTTTCAAGCTGTGACTCAGCCCCCCAGGTTCAGGTCAACTTCAACTCTAGTCCCAAACTGACAGCCGACGCTGCCATGGAGCCACAGATGGCCAACGGCTTTGAGGGATCTGTCTCCCGGGATCAGGGAGCGTGGTCCCTGCGTCCCCCCACACTGAATGATATAGAGGGAGACAGGGATAAAGGAGCGGAGGACGTACTGACCCATCATACCACTGATGTCATGAACAGTTTGAAGCCCCTGCTCTTTCCCCAGTCTCTGAGCAGTGCCGGTGCCTCCTCATCGACTCCACACTCCATCAGCCCTAAACAATCTCCACACTCTCCTCAGAGAGAAGAAGCTTGTCTCTTCAGTAACTCATCATCCTCCCCTTTAACACAAAACGGGAGTATTAAAGCGGGACTTAAGGATGTTATGCACTCAGATGATTATGAGTCAGAACCAGACTTGGGAAGTCCGCTGGTTATCCAAGAGAGCCCAGAGTCTCTTATCTCCTCCCCTCCCAAATTTAAACTGAGGTCTGAGTTACTCGGGACTCCTGCAATAACGTCTCGTGACATTTCCAAGCCTCCTCATCTCTCTGCAAAACCTAAACAGCTTCATGAGGATAAGGGGTGCCCTACTACCCCCAGGTTTCCCACTGCAGCTCCTCTGCTGCAGAGCCCTAAGGACTCCCTCTCGTCTGTCATCACAGGCTCTGCATCAGTTCAAGAAGAAAAATACCCAGAGCATGTGATTGATGAGAGGGACTCACCTGAGAGCCCACCGCCAAGCGAGACAGGTCTTATGGTCCCGAAAAGTAGCAGCAGCCCTGATTTGCCCAAAACACCAGGTCTAGTGGTGAACCACACAGACGCTCATCATAGAGAGGAACTTATGGATAGTGAGCCGAGCAGTGAGGACATGCCAGGTCGCACTGAGGAGCTGATTGAAAAGATGGCTGGAGATGGAGAAAAGTTAAATGAGGAGAACAGCGGGGCTTGCACATCATCTGAGGATACTGTGTCTGCTTGTGCTGCAGAGACTGAGTCATCCCCACTGCGTCCGCTCAAAGTTAAAATCAAAATGCGTACAGGAAGCATCACAAGAACTGTGACTGGGGTGCCACCCATGAGAAGAGTCACTTCCAGGGCGGTGGGCGTTTCAAAACCTTCACCAGAACGTCTTAACACAAAAACCAAGAGGGAGCTACCACAGCGATCTAAACCACCTGCAGTAGCAATGCCTCAGGATGCGTGTGCTGCAACACCTCCTGGTGCCAGTACGGGTAAACAGAAATCTGCAGTGGACACCAAACCTAAAGCTTCCCCCACAGCTGTCAGCATCACTAAAACTGCTGCCCTGCCCTCCGTCTCCTCCCCGAGAGTCGCCGCAGGTGGGATCAACCTGCGCAATCTGGGCCAGAAGACTCTCAACAGTGGAATGATTCTCACCACACCTTCACCTCTGACCTCTCAAAGTGGCAGCAGACCAGCATCCATAGTCAACAACACTGGGGCGATTATATCCAAGAGTCAGACCAACCTGGTTGAAGCATTCAACAAAATCCTCAACAACAAGAACCTGCTGCCCAGTTATAAACCAGACCTGAGCTTGCCTCTTCCAGCAGAGTGGGGCATTCCTCTTCCCGCGCAGGTGAGCAGCTTATATGTGTAGAGCTGCATCGATTTGTCAGTTAATCAGTTAATCGATCAACATAAACAGCTATATTGTTGGTTGATAAATTATTTCATTTCAATAATGTCAATCAGACAAGATTAAATATGTCACTTTGGGCCCAGGGAATGTTTTCTGAAATTCAAACAGACAAAAAAAAAATTGATAATCATCCAGTTTAATGGGTAAAAAATATCACAGGCCTAAATATTTAACCTGCAACAAGATATCTCTGCCACAGACCTACTACAGATTATTATTTATATCAAACTGTTTAACTTTGCATATAAAGTTGAGCTTCATATTAATAAGCATCTAAATGTTATCTTTTGATCCCTTGCAGGGATATCGTTGTTTGGAGTGTGGCGATGCCTTTGCCCTGGAGCAGAGTTTGGCCCGACACTATGACCGGCGCTCACTGAGGATTGAAGTGACTTGCAATCACTGTGCCAAGCGCTTGGCCTTCTTCAACAAGTGTAGTTTGCTTTTACACGCGAGAGAGCACAAGGAGAGAGGCCTGATCATGCAGTGTTCACACCTGGTCATGAAAACTGTAACTTTGGAGCAGATGATTGGTCAGCAGGAACCCACGGCAATAGGTAATTGAGAATTGTATCTGTCTTTGATTTAGCATTGTTTCTTTTTTAGGGGGAGGTTGGTGGTCTGATTCCACTGTGTGATTTTGTCTTGTTGTATCTTCCTCCTTGATTCCCCAGGTGGGCTCTCTCCGTCTCTCCTGTCGTCCACTTCAGCACAGTCATCATCCTCTTCAGGCGTTGTCCTAGCAAATACAACCTTACAGAAAGCAGTAACTAACAAAAAAGCAGAGGAGGTGCAGCACACGAGCAATAAATGTCCAGAGTGTCTGACTCAGTTTAGCAGCAAAGAAGAGGTGGCTGAGCACTTCCAAGAAATCAAACCAGGACACACTACCGTAAGAGAGAGGGATAGAGTGCGTGTGTGAAGGAGATAAATTCCATTTATTTTCTCATAATGTGCAAAATGAGCTCTAACTAAATTTATTCCTTTGCTCTCTACCTTTTCCTCTGTTGCCCCACAGCCATGCTCTGAGTGTTCTCCTCCCATGTTGCTGCCCAACAGCTGCAGCGCAGCAGCCCATCAACGCATCCACCAAGGCTGCTCACCACATGTATGCCCAGAATGCGGGGGCACGGCCAAGCAGCCGCGATTTCAAACACATCTGGATGAGACCTGTTTGCATTTTGCCCGGCGTATTGGATACAGGTGCGACATCTGCTCCCATGGTTGTTGCATTAAACTGAAGTTTGCCGTGCTGTTTGTTCACCCATCTCTCTTGTCTCTGTCTTTTCACGTTTCTCTTTCTCTCTGTGCAGATGTTCCAGTTGCCAGGTGGTGTTTGGGGGGCTGAACTCAGTGAAGTCTCACATCCAACAGGCTCATTGCGACATGTTCCATAAATGCCCCAGTTGTCCCATGGCTTTCAAATCTGCCCCCAGCATCCAGAACCACATCACTGCCCAACATCCAACACTCACGGAAGGACCGGCAATGTACTGCATACACACACTTTCACACAGATTTAAAACATTGTCTTTTCACATGAAAATAGTTTCTTTCTCACAATGAATTGAGACGGTTTTTATTCTTTTACAGATTGATATATAAATGCGTCATGTGTGACACTGTCTTTACCCACAAACCCCTGCTCTACGTCCACTTTGACATGCATTTAATCAATCAGAAGGTGCATGTGTTCAAATGCCCTGAGTGCACCAAGCTATTTTCTCAAAGGAATTCCCTACTGGACCATTTCAAGGTATATCTTCATTTATGTACTTGATCAATATCTAATTATTTGTTTTTAGGCAAAAGAAAAGTCAGTCATACAACCCCTCTCCTTATGTTTATTTATTTTGTACCCTGACTCTGTTCCTCAGACCCACATTAAGACTCCCACGTTAAAACAAAAGCAGCCTTTACCTCCAGCTGCTTCCTCTCGTTCACAACCTGCGGTGAAATTAGAAAGCTCAGATGCAGAGGAATGGAAGGATGAAGATAAAGAAGAGAAGGTGAAGACAAAGAGGATGAAGACCCCTTCAGGGTGGAAGTGTTTTCCTTGCCATGCACACTACACTGACCGGGATGACTACATTATCCATATGGCTGAACAACATGGCAAGGTAACTTGACTGAATTAGTTTGTTTCTAAATGCATTTATTGGTTATTTGATGTCTTCATAGACAAGTATGTGCTTGTGTCGTGTAGAAACTTAAGAAGTTCCCCTGTAACAAATGCGAGAGTTCCTTCACCACAACTTCCAGCCTGAGACGTCACATCCGAGACAAACACAAAGTCATGAATCGAGGTTTCCGCTGCCAGTGAGTATCCCACATCCAGTATGAAACTGGTATCAAAGGGTTTGTTGTTCTGAACATTTGCTCAGCTGTTGCTCAAATCTAAAACTAACTCTATGTTGCTTATTGAAGTAAAACTCTCTGAACTAGTGATTGTAGTTCTATTCTTCATTAGAATATCAACACTGAGTACATCTATAAATGAGAGTGATAGAGAAGATATTAAGATTATAAAGGCAGCACCACTTCATCACTTTGAATTAAAACTAGAGCAAAATAAATTAGTCAGGATGATTAAATAGTTGGGGAGACCCAGACAACGTGGGTTGTCTATTCTTCTTCTTCAGTGGTTTAATATGTGCTGAATCAGGCTGAAATCGGCCTGAATTTCCTAAAGCTGAGCCGAGCTTTAGGAGTTGCAAAGACACACTTCAATCAGAAAGTCATGATTTGTTTATTTGTGCATGTAGGTTCTGTACTGAGGGTAAGAAAACGTTCAGCACTCGAGCTTTGCTGGAGAGGCACGTTCAGCTGAGACACAAGGACACTGTGAGCCAGGACACTCTGGTGGTAAGCCCGTTTCTTCTATCAAGTCAAACAACTAGAGCTTTTTACTGAGCTGTGATCAACATCATTTATTCTGATTTCTTCTGGTCACAGGGAGGCGGTGATGGGGCCGACAGCTCCTCAGAACAGGAGAGTAACTTGGGGGCTCGGCGTAGACGGAGAGGAGCTGTGAAGACGGAGCACAATGAGGAGTCCACAGATGGGATGACTCCTGTGAAGAAGTTGCGTTCCACCTCCTCTGCACCTACTACACACTCGCTTCCTGACTCTGAATTCCGCTGTGCCCCGTGCGGCTTCGCCACAGATGACCAGACTTCATTCTTGGAGCACATCAGCCAGCACAAGAGAGCAGGGACAGAGGGAGGTGCTCTGCAGTGTCTACAGTGTGGCGCCTGCTTCACATCCACCTCCTCCTTATCACGCCATCGCTTCATCATCCACAAAATGAAAGATTCAAACACTGACAACCAGCAAGCCCTCGGCCTGCACCCAGCACCTTCCCCTGGTAACAGCAGGAACCATGATGATAAGAGTTCTATGGATTGCTCTGCACCACCGTCACCCTCCTCTCAGCCCTCTGGAGCTCAGAGGAAAGAAGAAGAGGACTCAATGGCCTGTAAGGTGTGTGGTAAACATTTTGAAAAGGTATCTGATCTGAATACACACTTCAGAACTCATGGTATGGCTTTTATCAACGCAAGGAACGCAGGAAAAACTACCTAAGATGGTAGATACGAGGGGAAGATCAGCATCGGTAGGTGATACATTTCCAAAATTCCTTTAATAAGTGTCGGTGAGTACACCCATGCACTAATGTAACCAAAGATTTAACAGGAGTGTTTATGTGAACAGATTGTAAAACAATCACGTCTTGAGTCTCACTGGTCGAGCGTCTGGCCTCAACCTTCTGACATTCAGGATCTAATGCTGCATCTCTATGTTCAGGAATGATACTAATGAGATCAGAGCTACTTCCCAGTCAGTGGACAGTTAGTCTGACTAGTTCACTGCTCTGACCATATTCACAGGTTGAAAGTAGAGAGCTGTGAATGTCCAAACCGAATCCTGCTGTGATGATGTCTGTGGCTTTAGAGAATGTTGATGGACATCAATGTACTGTGTCCGTTCCTGATTTTGAATATGTTCATCCTACTGAGGAGGAAGAATGTCGAATGCCAACCCAGGTGTTTTTCTGTCAAGTTGTTGTTTTAATATAGTTTTTGGTGAATAATTGTGTGGGATCTCAGTTTCTATCAAGTGTGTATACGTTATTGGCGGCCATTTTCTACAGCGTACAATAGCTGTGCCCCAATTCAGTGGCCACACAGTCCACAAAAGGGGCGGCCTTCGAGGGATGTGCAGACGGCTTCATGATCAGAGCGCAATGAATCCTGGGATAGCTTGGCCCGAGAATGATCCACCCATTGGAACTTTAGTTGCTCTGGAATGGAGGGACACGTGTAAATGAGCTTCTGAAATGGGACAGTCTTGTCGTGCCACTGTGACGCAATCGGTCTTCAAATGCATCGTCTGAATTGAGACACAGCTAATTGTTCCTTATATTCCCAACTTTAAAGGCAGCCATTGGCTTCCATGTGTTTTATTGTTTGAGATATGTGAGACAGGCAATCAAGTTGGGAGAATTTTGTACTCTCGAGAATGTAATTTAAGATACAACTTAATTAGTCCCACTCAGACTTCGGAGACTTTTACTTTTGAAAACAGATTTGCTCCATCACTGTCGTCACTGTCTGTAGAGGCCATTAGATGTACAGTATGTCTGTATGGTTAATAATAGACTCATACCTGTTGCTAATAAATGTTGACTGTCAAGTGCTGAGTAGGGGTTCAAATCCCTGCACATTTTATATGCATATTGTACTGAGGTGAAGGTGGACCAATAACTTTCTGCAAGAAAATCATT